CCTCACCACAAACCAATAACCTTGGGCACTAGAGCAGGCCCTGAAGAGCCATGTCTATACGTTTCTTAAATCCCTCCAGGGATGGTGACTCCACCACCTCCCTGGGCAGGCTGTTCCAGGGCCTGACCACCCTCTCAGTAAAGTAGTTCTTTCTAATATCTAATCTAAATCTCCCCTGCCCCAACTTCAGACCATTTCCTCTGGTCTTGTTGTTCGTCCTTTGGGAGAAGAGGCCAACACCTGCCTCTCTACAACCTCCTTTCAGGTAGTTGTAGAGGGCAATGAGGTCTCCCCTCAGCCTCCTCTTCTCCAAACTCAACATGCCCAGTTCCCTCAGCCTCTCCTCGTAGGACTTGTTCTCCAGACCCCTCCCCAGCTTGGTGGCTCTCCTCTGGACACGCTCCAGCCCCTCAATGTCTTTCCTGTAGTGAGGGGCCCAAAACTGAACACAGTACTCGAGGTGAGGCCTCACCAGTGCTGAGTACAGAGGTGATGGCCTCTCAAAGAAATTTTGCCCATTTCCCACATTTGACTGGAGTCATAGGGCCTTACAGTGAACAGTGTGTTGACTAACAGGCCTGCAACGAGGAGCGAGTGCTGGGAGGCAGCGTGCATTGGGTTTGGCACGGTGTCACGCGAGTGTGTGCAGCTTCCAGGTGGGAACTGGCTCCTCTCCTGCCAGCTCAAGAGTGCGGGCAGAAAGAACACGTCTGCCCACACCCATCTGCCCAAAGTCCCCTCTCTTTCCCAGAAGGTAAGAAAATGCATTGTCACGTACAACATACAGATTGCCCTACGCGTCCTGCTTCACATTTGTGCAAATGGTACTGATTTCTGTATATACTGATTTCTGTATATTCCTGATTCATCCTTAAAACAACAAATCTTCCTCAGAGTTTACTAGCTGAAACCAAGCTTCTGAAGTCAGCTGTCTTGCTGCTGATCTGTTAGAGCTCACGTGCAATTTCCCTTCTCCCATAGAAGGAAAACTGGTACTTAAGTTGGTTTGAAGAGGCTGTTTAGGAGCTGAGCAACAGTGCTCTGATGATGTGGAGCCCTTTGTTTCTCTCATGCTGGGTGCTTGGGCAATGCAGCAGATCAGTTATGTCATCTTGTGCAATGCACAACCACATACTAATTTATACAGAAACAATTGAACTGGAATTCCAGTTCCCCACACTCCCATCTGAGGAACACGACAGGGTTTTGCCCTCCTGACAATACCAGTCACCATCCCACATCCTCTGGAGTGTTCTTTCATAGTGCGTTTATGGGATAAAGTTTTCCCACTGAAAATTTCTGCAAGAACATTCTCTCTTCATCAAAACATGAAAACAAGTGGCTGCTGCCTTTTGAAAAACATGAAAGCGTTGTTGTGAACGTTGCTCCAGTATTTACAGGGGAATGGAAAAAAATAGCAGCTTTTTAGAGGGATTTAACTCAAATCCCCATGTGCAGCAGTGTTGCCTCCGGCCTAAAGCCAGTTTAGTTTTTGATGCTGAGCCTTGCAATCTGAAGCTACCCTGTGGTTCTGCTGTTGTGTTTGTTTTGGAAGATGCACAACAAATAATGAGAGGAAGGATATACAAGATACCGCAGAGAGCTATAGGGAAAGGGGTTGCAACTCCAAGGAGGGGGGAGCTTTGGGCATGTGGCCTCTGAAAACCAAAAAAAATGTCTGTAGATAATATTTGCTTTTTCTACACTCCCTTGGGCAAACAGAAATAAAGGGCAGAGGGAAACGGTGGGGTTTTTTAAGCTATAGCCTTTGGTTACTATGAATCAGATACTGTTTTAATCAGTTGATCTACTGAGGAGCAAAGCAGAAAGTTTTAGCCTCAAACTCTTAGAGAAGGTTGTAGAGCAGACAGGAAATCCACGCTGCAAATGGGAATCTGCTGTGAACTGGTCAAAATGCTGACGTTCTGTTCTGAGGGAAAAAAGGTAATTAGCCATCTGAATTTGCTTTTGTCTCCAGTTGGAATGAAATGTCAAAATTCATACTCCTTCATATACCAAGTATCCCCCGACGCTGAATTTTGGGAATGCCAAAGTGAACTTACTAGAACATTTCATTTGAGTGAAGTCAGAGCGCTTTGTCTTGCTGAAGTCGGAGGCCTTTGTTTCAGCTTTTGATTTGGAAGCTCCTTGACACAGAAGATGATGGAAGCCTGTTCTCTGGAGGATGTGTTGCTCCCTGAAAGATGTCATGCCCTGTTTTCTCAAGCAAGCTGGGGCAGAAGTTCGTTGGAATCTGACTCTGCAGCGATGGTCTGCTTCACAGGAATTCAAATGCCACTAAAGCATTCGTGGTAAGGGGCAGCTTAAAAATCCTCGGGATCTGCAGAGATCTGCAAAATGCATCTTTGCTCTGAAGTTTAGTGAAAAAGATAATCTTAGATGCTTGTAACAGAGGTAGAGGAGGACACCCGCTCCACCTTACATGCATTGGGTGCTATGTGCAGCCCGCCCAGTCTTCGTTAGCACAGTGCCATATTAAAAACATTTGGACCAAGCCAAAATAAATGGCCTTAGTATATTCTAGTTTTCTTTTGTCCTTGGAAAATTGACAATGCAGCTCAAGGCACTCTAAAGTACTGTGGACTCCTTGGCTTTTGCACATAGTGATGGTTCAGATTCATGTTTTTCCATGGCTGTTTGAACAGCCACCTTATAAAGGTGAGAAAATGACTTGCTTTTGTTGTGGTTTCTCCTACTTCAGGATCTGGGGTACTTAGAAGGTTACCTTGACAATTAATTGCAATTTGGTTATTACACATTAGAGTGTGAATGGAGCTGGTAATGCATTTTCTTTTCTATTTTTTTTCGGCTACAGTATCTTGAAATCTATTGAAAAAACGCTGTAATTCTCAGCAGCCTTTTAAATGAGCATAACTGAGGAAACAACGTCAAAGAAAAAGAGTAGTTAGTAACCGGGCAGTTAATTGTGACTGTTGTTAGTTTTTAGTTGCAAGTAGCAGTTGTTATCCTGAGGTCAACTTCCTTTCAAAAATGTCAGGACAGCCTTGCCAAGCAGCCAGCAACCCAGGCTTTGGGGTGAAAAGCATTACAAGCAATAATGATGGAAGCATTACAAGTAGATTAAATGTTTACCAGTGGGAGCAAGGAAAGAAGAAGCAAGAGAAAATATTGTTGTTGGCCTCAAGAGAATTCTAAAGGAAACAAGCTAACAAACCTTTAAGGAAGAGCAGGATTTGGACTCAGAACAAGTGAAACCAGACATATTCTCTTCGTCCAAGAAGTCCATCACTACTGGCTTTCATGAAAATAAAATCAGACACACATCCTAATATTCACTAATCATTAAAGAGAGGATTAAAAAAAGTTACGTGACTAAATGCAGGAGGAAGTTCACAGGTGAGTGGTTAAGGGAGAGGGGGACTATTGGCCATAGCTGATAAAAAGTGCACAGAACAAGCTAAAATGAAGAGATGGGGATAAATAATGATTAACTGTAATTGAGCCCTTAATGGAAACAGATTAATTTCAGCTTCTACAAGAGAAAGACATGAAATGTGTACTCTATTATCTGATCTGGTACTGAGAAGGAGGGCAGCTATTTTAAAGGAGATTCATATGGTTGATAAAGAGAAAGGAAAAAAGGACAAGTTTAAATTAAGACATGGGAAACCAGGGAGGAACAAAACAACAAACACTGTCAAGTAGAGGGACTGGATGACCTTGCAGGTCTCCTCTATCTCATGCTTCTTTGACTCTTTATGAAGACAGCAGGATCTCAAGTAGCGGGTATTTAGGATATCATGTTAATGGCCAACTTCAGCAGACTTGTCCAGCTACAAAAACTCTGCTTTTCTGCAAATCGCTTTGTAATTCTAGAATAATGAAATTACTAAAATGCAGCTCTGAGTTTCATCAAATTGCGTCTTTAAGACACTGGCAATAAGTAGAGGTGCAGCTTTTCTCCTCTTACAGTGCGAGTGTGGTGGTATCTGCATTGTGGGTTATTTTGGAGTTTTTCCAGCTGCTTTGTACTCTGCTGAGAATAAGCAGGATATTTGGCTGTGCTGATCTGTGGTCACTTCACGTAGAAACCACATGCTGGCGTGCATCCAGTTTGTACTGGGTCACGCTCCAGTAGTTTGCTGTAGCCTTGTACCAGCCCATATTATTGCACACCATTTCATAGAACTATAGAATCACAGAATGGTTTGGGTTGGAAGGGACCAGAAAGATCACCTAGTTCCAGCTCCCCTACTGTAGGCAGGGACACCTTCCACCAGAACAGGTTGCTCAAAGCCTCATCCAACCTCGTCTTGAACACTTCCAGGGATGGGGCATCCCCAGTTTCCCTGGGCAACCTGTCCTGCTGTCTCACCACCATCACAGTAAAGATTTTCTTCCTAATATCTAATATAAATCTCCCCTCTTTTAGTTTAAAACTGTTCCCCCTCGTCCTATTGCTACGATCCCTGATAAAAGAGTTCCTCCCCAGCTCTCCTGTAGCCCCCTTCAGGTACTGGAAGGCTGCAGTAAGGTCTCCCAGAGCCTTCTCTTCTCCAGGCTGAACAACCCCAGCTCTCTCAGCCTGTCCTTGCAGGGGAGGTGCTCCAGCCTCTGATCATCATCTTTGTGACCCTCCTCTGGACTTGCTCCCACAGGTTGATGGCTTATGCTGGAGGCCCCAGAGCTGGATGCAGTACTCCAGGTGGGGTCTCACAAGAGTGGAATGGAGAGGGACAATTGCCTCCCTCAATTTGCTGGCCACACTTCTTTTGATGTAGCCCATGGTATGGTTGACTTTCTGGGCTGCAAGCGCACATTGACAGCTCAAGCTAGGTGGACCTGCAGGGGGGATGGACTAGGTGATCTACAGAGCTACAGAGGTCCCTTCCAACCCCATATCATTCTGTGATTCATGTTGAGCTTCTCATCCACCAACATCCCCAAGTCCTTCTCTTCAGGGCTGCTTTCAATCCACTCATCGTCCAGCCTGTATCCATGTTTGGGATTTCCCTGACCCGGGTGCAGGACCTTATACTTGGCCTGATTGAACTTCATGAAGTTTGCATGGGCCAACCTCTCAAGCTTGTCCAGGTCCCTCTGCATGTCATCCCTTCCCTTTAGAGTACCAACCTCCCCATTCAGCTTGGTGTCCTCGGCAAACTTCCTGAGGGTGCACTCTATTTCACTGTCCAGGTCCCCATCAAGGATGTTAAATAATACTGGTCCCAGTATGGACCTTTGAGGAACACCGTTTGTCACTGGTCTCCACTCAGACATTGAGCCATTGACTGCAACTCTTTGAGTGCAACCATCCAGCCAATTCCTTATCCACCGAGTGGTCCACCTGTCCAACCCATGTTTCTTCATTTTAGAGACTAACATGTTGTGTGGGACAGTATCAGATGCTTTGCACAAGTCCAGGTGGATTTGAACTGGGCTGTCCTGAATGTCCCAGCTCTGTGGGGAAAGAGAAAATACCAGTCTTTGTAGCCAGACCCATGGAATGTTGGAGAGAATTGCTAAGGCAGCAGCCAGCAGTCACAGGAGTGCCAAGCAATGCAGAATTGTATCAAAAGGTACAAATGTAATAAACCCATATTTCCAGCGGAGCCCCCACTGTTGTCTGTATTTAGATGAGTTGAACAGGATTTTTGCACTGGATACTAATATCTAGGATTTGATTCTTGCAGAAGAAGTAACTGAGTAGTGTCTAGTACTGGACAGATGTGTGTGAGATCCCAGCTGAGAACTGGTGGTACCAGGTCTAGCCAGCCTGGTCAGGTGGCCCTCACCCCCAGCCCTCGCTGGCAGTCTGCTCTTTCTGACAACTGGTAGAAGCACTGCGTTGGAGATAATTCTCTAGCCATGGATCACAGAATTATAGCTATAATACGTCTGGTGCTCATCTAAGTCCTTGTTTTGGGCAGATGCAAGGTAGTTGCTGTCTGAGTTCTTCCCAGCTAAACAAGAATGACCACAACCACAGAGATGGTGGTAAGGTACTTTCTAGCAGTCCATATGGTATGACTGCTGGGAAGCCACCTTCTCCAGAGCTGTACTTCATCCCCTATTTTCCTTCTCTCCAGGACACAGCCCATGCTCATACCTGGCCCCCAGCCCCTGCACAAGAAGCATTTGAGAATCCCCTTTCAGGGTGGTAGATAGCCAGAAGGACCCTTGGCTAACTCTTTCTAGCCATGGTATCTTTTGGAAGTCAAAAACCAACCCTCATGCTCATACCTGGCCCCCAGCCCCTGCACAAGAAGCATTTGAGAATCCCCTTTCAGGGTGGTAGATAGCCAGAAGGACCCTTGGCTAACTCTTTCTAGCCATGGTATCTTTTGGAAGTCAAAAACTCTTCCTCCTCCATCCCTGTCCTACATTGCAGTCAGGCCATTTCAGCCTCCAAGAGTTCCTGTGGTAGCAAATGATGTCTGGGAGCAGAACCAAATGTCAAAAGCTTTTCCACTGGAACATCCCATGTAATTTCTTTCAAGTCTGCTCTGTTCTAGGAAAATCTCGGTACCTTCTCTTCAGGGTTTTTTTTTGTCTTTTGTTTTCACACAAAGGCCATGGTGCTTCTTGACAGTGGGAAATGATTATGGTCTTATTCAAATGCATGACAAGCTCTGCACATTTTTGTCTTTTGTTTTCACACAAAGGCCATGATGCTTCTTGACATTGGGAAATGATTATGGTCTTATTCAAATTCATGACAAGCTCTGAACGTGTGGATTCATCAATACTGAAGAAAATATTTGTTCTCTCTCATCTGCATTAGCACCAGCCAGAGCAATGGGTGATTCCATCTCACGGGACATGGTCTCCCTCCGTTGAGAGGGGAAATCAGCTGTTACAAAGAGATAGATTGGGTCAAAGGCTTTCAATAGCCCACGTAGCCCAATGGAAAGTGGAGCTCCCAGAATGTCTGAAATTACCTGGGGTGTAGAAGTCTGCAAAGCAAACCCTGCACTTCTAGGACTATCTACTCAGAAAACCATGCTCTTATTGGTGTAAGGTCAATTCTAGCACCAAAATGTCTTGCACAGTGAAAGCATATATATCACATCAGTTGACAGCAGCATTGCTGTGTTATTAATGATAATAGCACTGTAGTTGCTGAAACCATCCGCAGCAATTTTCTCTAGCTCTACTAGCATCAACATCATCGTCAGATAATGTGCCATAGGTGTCTTTTAATGAAGGCAATTCAGCAAGTGGTTGACCACTGAAGGCCAACGTATCTGTAGTGGCACTTTCCCACAGGAGCCTGTCCCTGCTTTGGTTGGAACAACAGACTTTGATAATCTGGAAGTTGTTTTTTTTCTAAACCCTTTACAGAGGGAGGTTCTGTACTAACAAACTCCAGACAGTGTTTACTAGTCCTGAGAAAACTGTGCTTCATTAGTGGCTTCTTTGTTGTCGATCGACTTGCTGCTCAGTGTTTGTAAACTTCTCAGAGGGTTCCTCCTGGGTCTCTGAAAGGTGTGGAGCCACTACAACTCTCCCAGGCAGTGGTGCAGTTGACACCTCCTGTCAGTCCCTTGCTTGGACAAATCTCAGGAGCAAAGTAATTGGAAAGAATCAGGATCAGAGAATTTGGGAAAAGGGTAATCAGACTATCTACTGCAGAGAGTTTGTCCAGCTTTAACTCTATAAACAGTGTGCTCTCTGCTTCCTACCTCTGCTTGAGGGTGTGGGGGGAGGCAGTGTGTACAAACACAACTGGAAGAGCTCCCCACACATGCTGTCTTTTAATTATGTCCTAGAGAGGGAAAGAATAAACATTAACAAACAATTCTGACTTTCCCCTAACCTTTGCAATGAAATCATCCTGTAATTTATGGTTTGATTTTTTAAGATGACTTTTTATTGGATGAACAGGCTCATGTGTGCATAGAAGAGTTCATCAGTCAAGAACATATATACACAACTCCTAAAGACTAGGAAGACTAGGATACTTTTTTTTTATTTTATTTTTTCACAAAAAAGGAGAGAGTCATGAAAAATGCCTTGAGTATTACTTGGAATCCAGACAAAACTGGGAAAAAACCTGCCCTTTTCGTGTTTTATGGCACTGTACTATATTTTTTAAGTTATGGTTTATGTGTCCACACTCAGCAGATTTAAGGTAAGATAAGGTGTCCATTCTTTTCTTTTTTCCACTGTAGCATCTGGGTTCTTAAAACAACAAAAAAATCCCTTATGATTTATCAGCCCTAATTGTCTTGCAGTGGGATTTCAGAGAGGAGATCATTAGCACACCCAGACACAACGCAGATGTTCCTGTGATGACATGTCTGCAGAAGGAGTGTATTTCCCTTCTGCCTCCTCCCTCTTTCTTTTTCCTTATCTCATCTCGTTCCCCTCAACACATTTGTCATTTATATCGGCGTGATGGTTGTTGGGGGCAGTGAGGGGGAAGGAGCAGCTGGGCTGGTGTTTCAGCTGCTAGGGCAGGGAGGTCTCAGCGGGGAGGTGGCCCATGCACCCCCGTGCACCTCCCTTGCTGCGAGGTGTCCTCTGCTGCACGTGGCCATGCCGTGTGGATCAGGGAATTAGTGGGATTAGCAGGGATGAGTAGGATTGCCTTGGATGCGCCAAGCCTGCTGTGTTTGTGTGTCACACCTGAGAAAACCCTTCCACCAACATTACCGGTGTCCTGGCCATCTCAACTGCTCTCCTGGCTTCATGGCCCAGTGAGGAGGACCTTTCCATAAGGCTCGTTTGCAGGCCTCCTGGGTGGAAAAGGCTCACAACAATTCAGCTTCTGCAGCACGCTTATTTAAGCACGGTATTATTTATGAAGATATTCCTGTAAAAAATAAATGTCCTCTGGCCTGAGGGAAAGTAATAAATGTTCTAAATTATGTTCTCCATCCAGAATTAATCTGGGTGACTGGACAAGGGAGTAAAGAAGTGATGGAACAAGAGCTACAATTTCGAAAGAAGCAGTTTTCCCTCCAGTTGCCTAGCAGTCTGTCTTGGGGAGCAGAGAACACAGGGCACCTCTGAGTCTGAAAAGGTAAAGAGTTGCAATTATATCTAGAATTTTAAGACATTTTCTTTAAGGAAAAACCCTAAGGAACAGAAAAGATGAGAAGTATCACACAGATAGTCATCTTGATAAGAAACATTTCCCAAAGGAAAACTAATGGAAGCTCTGCCAAATCAGGATCCATAGTGCATGGTTTATATATAAAGTCTTTCTCCTTTTCCCCTCAAACCTATGCTGCATGCAAGATTTATTTTATTCTTGTCAGGGCAAATAATTCCATGGCTACTTTCCATTTTAGGAGTAAAGGCTGAACTGTTTCAGTACAATCGTACCCATTTTAAGTTTCAGTATCTCTGCACGCATATTTATAACTCTTAACACATTTTCAACAGAAATGTCATACAGAGGCATCATATCTCCTGCTGTGTTTTGTGTGTTTCTACCGTAAGGGAGCCAGAAATGGGATAAGCTAGAATGTTCACCATCTTCTAGCTTCTTATATTAACATATATAGAATATTGATAATGATATAACATATTGATAACAAATTCCCCATCCAAAAGAGAGGTGTAAGAAGATGCAGCAACTGTGTGCTGAGGTTAAACAAGTTTGGACTGCAAATGAGACACGGGTTTTCAACAGTGAGGACAGCTAAATAGTTGGCAAATCACCTAATCAGAATATGTCAGATGAATTAACAGAGTGCGTAATAAATTCCCACGTAATTGGATGTTCAGGAGATTCAGATAAGCACTCAAGCATGAAGTATGGCAAAATCTGAGGCACAGTAGAGCCTTTAGTTTCATGATGATGGATTGTCAGGCCAGTGCTTTCAGAGCTGTCGTGCTGGGACCAGTGGATTTGTTTCGAAAGCGAGCAAGGAGAGCTCTGTGCCTCTGTCCTAGCTTTTCCACTGTGGTTTTCACCATTTTTAAACACAATTGCTCCTCCACATCCATTCCAGTGACACATAAAACTACCAGGAATAGTTACTGGGGATGGTGCAGGAACAAGTCAAGCACACATGGAAATGTTTGAAAAGCCAGTTGCTAGATGCAGTGCAGATGTTGCTCATTTGGAATACTGGTAGCTCTTCTGCTCACAATTATTTCCAAAAATACACTAAACACTGATGTGAACAGCAAATTCTTTTCTTAATCAATACTTTCACTTTGGAATAGCTTTGTACTATGCAAGTCAATTTGGAAAGGAAAGAGTAAGTGACTGCAAGTAGAAGCTGGAATATCTCAGACAAAAAAGAAGATCCACAATGGGGAAG